GGCCAATAGAAAGCCAGGCAGTTACTTAAATCATATTTTTAGAAGATCAATTTGAGGATTTCAATCTTCAAAAGCCATGCAAGGGAAGAATTTCAGAACTGGTAGTGTAAGAATGAGAACACAATGTACTCAACTTAAAAGCTCAGATTTCTTCTAGTTATTTTGTTTGGGCAGTGCCTCCTTTGGAGCAGGAAACACTGTATGCTGAATTGTTGCAACAGGTAATTGAAGGTCTTTTCCCCTGCAGTCCATTAGCCTGTGGATTTCCTGAAGTCCATCTGTTATCTGCTAAACTGTTACTAGATGAGCGGCTGCTGATTCTGGAACATAACCCTAGTCCCATGCCATTAACTACTGAGAGATAATTAAGAAATTTAAAAACTGGACAGTGATCATGACAAATTTGAGTCTTACCCTTGTGCATTTTAATTGGAAATATGTGCCTGTATTAAGGAGAGGTAACTCTAGAACATGTATAGAGTGCCATCATACAAAATGAACAGATTTTTACCAGCAGAATTTATCTGAAATATTTGAACATCTTGTAACTGAGAAATACCTGACTTATGGAAACAGACTCAACTTCATGGTAATACCTGGAATTTTATACTGTGGTTCCATTTGTACCAGTTGTAAGCATCTGAAAACCAAGTTTTTGTAATGGAAATTGTAATTAAATACTAGTTTCAGTTATTATTACTATTAGACATCCACCTAAGACAATAAAGAATATGAAATGAAGAGCATTAGGCTTTTCTTATAGGATATGCTGTGCTTTAAAACTTATTTTATTGATCCTAAAGTTACAAGATCAATTACTGACATTTTCTTGGATTAATCTTGGATTAAATGGCAAAATGAAGAAAAGGTTTTCATATGTACTATATCCAAAAGCAGAAACAGATTGCCATTCTCATGAGAACATCCAGAAACCTTTTCTGATTAATTAACAGTATGTCTGAAATATATCTAGGTTATACCAGCCGCCATAGCACTTTTTGGTGAACCAAAGAAGTCCTACAGTGAAATCAAACTTTGAGTAAAATCTGTACTACTTTAATACAGTTTCCCTCTAACATATTTTTTTCCTGTTTTTAGATTAATGTATATTCTGTCTGTCAATTACAATGCAAAGTATAAGTAAGATTAAAGCAAGGATGTTGGAGTGTGAAAATAATTCATGTGAATTGCTAATAGGCTGGTGGGAATAAATTATTTCCACATGAAGGCAAATCCTGTCTCATCAAAGACAGCAGACTTGATTTTCCACTGTTTCAGACCTTGACTAGCCACTATTATCTGCAGAAGGAACACGAATGCTGAGAGCTGAAAGCTACAAAATCAGTATTTCACTGTGACCAAAACAGTAGTATTGAACCTATTCTTCCCTCCCTTTGAACAGATGTGAGTACAGCTGGAAGCAAATAAAAACAACAAGCCATAAGGCAAAAAGAAGTCATTACTTCAGGTAGGCAAAATGGAGATTTGATAGCACATACATGTTTCTTTTCCCTTCTGCATGGTTTTGCCAGTTAATTCAGAAGCCTTGCAGTTATCACCTTTCAGTGACAGGAATTGATCAGGTTTGTGTTCACCTTGACAATCCTATGATGGAGAATGGGAAATAAAGGGACAGTATGAGTCCTCTCAGGTAATTAACCTAAGCTCCAATGCTTCCCACACCAGCCTATTTTCAATTTTGGCACAGTATAGTTCATACACTCTAACATTATTGCTCAGAAGATAGAATGATGACTCAGGTTTACTAAAAACAGCTTCACAATACTGCAATCATGCCTGTGAAGCTTCATCTCTTATCCTGTATTTGTAAGTTTCTTCTCACTGAGAAATAAATTTGTGTGGTGTTTTGTATTTTGTCAGAAAAGTTAGTCACCAGACACCTGAAACACTGATATACCATCTTTAATAAAACATGGCTTATTTGGTCAATTTGCCTGCCAATTCATTTTCCTGCTTTTAAAAACATGTCTAAAACACCACAGCTGACCTCTGTTAATACTGCTGTCCATAGAAATCACAAATAACTGAGAAATTATATGCCACTGCTGCATCCTGTCATGCCAGAAGATCGAGATTACTTTGAAGATTATTTAGAGTAGGTGTTACATATAATTTGTGCCCAGGTCCACTGAAGTCAATGAAACAACGCCTACTGGCTTCTGTGGGAGTCTGACTTGGACATTATTCTGGCAATCTGTCCACCACTAAATTAAACTATTCCAGGGATAAAAGCCCAAATGAAGAAAAGTAGAAATTTAAGAACTAAAACTGAGCTGCAAATAAATATTCAATGGCATCCTGAAAAGACTTAAATAAAACACAAACACACTTACACAGGCATGTACACACACATACATACAAAAAAAAGTTATGACTTTAACAATCTTAAAAATCCATAGTCTAAAATTGTTTACATTTAAACAATTGAGCATAATAGGTAGCTTTCTTGACTTTCCATATATTTCCCTGAGCACTGATCTTTGGAACATCTGGAGTTTCAGAATTGTCTAGTTCATAATTCCTAAAATAACTATCTTAAGTAAAATGCTGTCTTTTTATGACAAAAAATCCATTCCTTAAGTAAAACTAGGATATAACTTCCATGAACTACAATGTATGTAGCCAATTTTTAAAAAACCAACAACTATTATCACGCATCTGCATCTGTGTTTAGGCACCTAGCTGGTTTGTCTGTTTTTCAAAATCACTCTGCAGTCTAGCAGTTCCCATTTAATTCAGTATCAGGTACTATGCTGTCTCATAAACTCATTCAATTGGAGACCTACATAAGAATTTAGTTTCTCTGCTTTACTCATTTTGCAAAATCTCGTTTGTATGAGCAATAAAGTATGCTATGGAATTGGTCTTGTGCCTAAATCAATATTACAGGCAAAGATTACTGGACTTCTTACTTTCCCATAAGGGGTTAAGAAGGTGCATCTGCAGAGAGGCAGCATAAAACCAATCTTCAGTACTAAAATGGGACCTAGCTAGGGCATATGTTTTAGACTGGCATTCCACACCAGGAAATCTGCTGGCCAAAAGAAGCTTATTTTAAATTTCTGCTATTTAGAACTACTCGAAAAATTGGCAAATGCTGCTTTTCACTCTCTTCTCTAGACTAGAGCTTTAAATGTGAGCTTCACAGACATCAGTTTGAAACTTTAAGACTTTTCAGGCATCCTGCATTTTAGATTATACAAAGTGTGCAAGTCAAAACATTTTAGAAAACAACAGTGCAGAGGGTTTTTGACTATTTTAGAATCAAATCTCTCTCTCTCCAGTTCTAGGGCTGCAAATTACGTCAGCCTCTCTGCAGCTAAAAAGTTCAAAATAATTTTCCATGAACCACAGAAATAGACTGTAACTTTGCATACTCTTAACTCTCTCTCCACTCTGTCTCCCCTCCTCTTCCACCTTCCCCCCACCCCCCCAGCCCCTGGGTAGCTGATACACTGGCATTATGCAGCAGGCTCCAAACAAAGGATTAACAAAAAGGTTATTTTGTAATACTTCATTTCAATATACCTTAACTTGAGTTATATACCTTAACTGGGGTGTTGAACCAAATGCAACCAGGAGAGTTGCTATTTGGTTTTGCATGCAACATGAAATCAAGCCTGTGTCTGTTCTCAAATGATGTAATAAAATATGCTGCATCTGATTCTCTTTCATTAGCACTTTTTTTATGCTATCTGGTACTGGCATTCCACAGCAGAATCCAAAAAGAAGGATTTAGCACTTCTTCTCTTTCCAGAAACCCTTTTTAATACTTCAAAGTTCACTAAGAGTTAACAGCATACGATCCCATCACTTTCCCCCTCCCCCTTTTCAGAAATTAGACTGGCCTTTCTTTAAATAAACAAACAAAACAAACAAACAAACAAAATCCTTGCTCTAAAATAGGAGTATAAATACTGTTTTGAAAACACATTTGGAAGATGTCTTCCAGGATGATTTATATATATATATATATATATATTTTTTATCCTTTAAAACTGTGACTACTGCACCAGTTAAGGCTGTTTACAATATATATATTTTTCAAATAAAACTTTTAATATTCAAGCTTACCAGATTGATGAATTGTAACAGGTAAAATGGAACTCTTTACAAGGTAAACCATGTAGTTGTACAAAATAGAATTATACCCTTCACCTGTGCAAAACAAAAAGAAATCCTGCCTTGCATTAAAAACACAGAACCTGTTTACAAAAAGGAATGTGTACTACATTTGGACTTCCTTTTTAACTGCCATATCCTAGCAACATCTCAGTTATTTTAGTAAAGGAACTAATCATCAATTTTAAACTGCAGTGAATTTACCAAACATTTTCACTATAGACTTCTGAAAGCTTTTACAGTAAGAAGTTATCAACAAAAGCAGGCACGTTAGTGTACAAAAACGTTGTTGAATTTTTTCCTGTTTCTTTTTCAAAGTGCAGGTTTTTCTCAATGTGCATCTTACAAGACCAACGAATGTTTTAACTCACTAAATCTTAAAACAGAACTCAATTCTCCCAAGGAGTAGTGTAAACGTTAAAGATCCCCAATACACCTCTAGTAAACGTGACACAAATGTCTCTGCGTTGTTTAGAAATTTAGCTCTTTTGAGAGGTAAAGAAGCTTCATGACACCTTTTCCTTACACTGGCTGGTTATCATAAATGGGTAACTCTGGACTGCTAAAGCTGGAGACTGATGAATCACTCGAAGGGAACTAAACTTGGCTACAGAGGAGAGGCGACGGGAGGAACCAACCCTTAGGCGTTTCTTGCTCAGCCTTCGGAAAATTCAGCCGCCGGCGGACGAAGGGTCGGTGTGGGGGAGGGCAGGGAGGGAGAGAAGAGGAGAGCAGGAAGGGAGGGAGGAGAAGCTTCCGCAGAGCCAGAGGCACGGCGGCACGCCGCCCGTGTCCCGCTGCGCCCGCGACGGCGGGACCATGCCGTCGGTGGTGCGACAAGTGTCCCCGAGCCCCGCGGCTGCGGAGCGCTGGCGGGCCCGCTCCCGGCCGTCACGGCGATCCGGGGGCCGGGCGTCCCGGCGGCGGCGGCGGCAGGCGCTAGGTGCCGTGAGCGCAGGGCTCCCCGGGGTAGATCTCCTCGTAGGCGGGGGGCTGCTCGCAGGGCAGAGGGTAGCAGTAGGGATAGGAGGCGTTGAGCTCGGGGTCCATGGGCGAGTAGCCGGGCAGCTCGACGGAGGGATGTCCGCCACAGTGCACCTCCACGCCGGCCTCGTCGAAGACGTGGAAGACGCCCACGTTGATGTAGGAGACGGCCTGGAAGGGGCAATCCCCGGGGCTGAGCTCGGGCTCGCCGCCGGAGAAGAGGGAGCCCTGGCTGTGGCGCGGCGCCCGCCGCCCACCGCCGCCGCCCCTCCGCCGTCGCCGCCGCCCGCCCGCCGCCGCCGCGGCCGGGGCCGCTCGCCGCCGCCGCCGCCTCCGTCCGCGCTGCTGCGCGGCCTTGTAGTTCTTGACAAGAAGCAGGTTAAGCAGGCCCAGGAGGCACTCCAGCGCGTTGAAAACGGTGGAGAGCACCAAGCCTTGCTGGTAGTCCCGCAGCTTCTGGCAGCGGAGCGCCGCGGCGGTGCCGTCGGGGGCCGCGGGTCCGCTCCGCGGGCGGGCCGCGCCGCCGGGCTGCAGCAGGCAATAGTGCGAGTACTTCCTCTCCACCAGCGACACGGTGTCGCCGTCGATGACGGCGCCGGCGAAGGCGCTCAGCACGCCCAGCATGAACACCAGCACCCCCAGAAGCAGGAAGTTCTGCCGCCCCCCGGGCGACGCCTTCTCCACCGGCCCCGACGGCGCGGCCGCCGCCTCCGCCCCGCCGGGGCCGCCGCTGGCCGGGTCCGGGTCCCCGGCGGGGGCCAAAGCAGAGGCCGGTGCCGGCGCTGGGGCCGGTGCCGGAGCCGGCGCCACGGGCGCCTCGTCGGGCGGGCGACAGCAGAGCAGCGCAGCGGCGAGCAGCGAGAGGCCGGCGGCCAGCAGCAGCCCCGAGTAGAAGGCGCCGGCGGCGGTGCCCAAGCGGAAGGGCTCGCCCTTGAGCTCGGAGCCCAGCGAGAAGCACTTGAGGCCCACGGCGGCGGCGCTGAGGGCGCAGGCGAGCAGGAGGCAGCTGGAGAGCGCGGCGCAGGCTCCCCGCACGCTCCACTTCATCCTCCGCGCCGCCGCCGCCGCCGCCGCCCCGCCGTCCGCCTCATCCTCCTCCCGCGGCCCCCCCCGGCCCCGCGGCGGCGGCGGCGCGGCGCGGCGCGGCCATGCGAGCGCGGCGCTCCCCGACGGGGCGGCTGCGCTCCGCTCCGCTCCGCACGGCAGGCAGCTGCCGGCCGCAGTGAGCCGGGCGCGGCGAGCGCGCAACGCTCCCCCCACCGCCTCCCGGTCGCCGCCGCCTCCTCGTCCCCGCCCGCCCTCTCTTATCGCGGCGGCTGCGGGGAGGCGATTAATTATGGATGGAAGCCGCGGCGGGCGGGAGGACGGAGGGGGCGGCCCACCGGGCCGTCGCGGGTGGCGGGGGGAGAGTGCGACCCCCGGTGAGGCCGGGGGCGGTGGAGCTGCCCAGCCCGCCCTCCCACCCGCGATGCGCGGGAGGGGCCGCTCGTCGCTCTCCGGCCGGCCCCGCACCGCGGAGCGCGGCTCGGGACGCGCGGCTGGGCAGGAGGTGGCGGGGGTTTGAACACCCCCGCGGGTTCCGTTGCCGAGGGCTGCTGCTTGGCTCAGTGTTCCTGCCTTCTCTCCCTCTCTTAATTTTATTTATTTATTTCTTAGCTCTTGCGGTCGGCAGGAGGCCGGCGAGCCGCCGTGCATCGCTGTGACCGCGCTGCGGTCTGTCGGCCGCTGTGATGCAGCGAGCGAGCGGACCGAGCCCCCCACGCCGCGCTGCCCGGCGCAGTGCTCCGTGCAGGCGGGGTCGGCGGTCCCCAGCAGCCCTCTTTGTTCCGGGCACCGCCGGTGAGCCCCGGTGGGGTTGCACCCCCTGGGCGGCGGGGCTCGAGGGACGGACGGACGGCCACAGCAGCACCCTCGGGACGCCCCGTCCGGGAGCGCCTGCAGCGCTGCCGGGCGTGGGAGCCTTTTCGGGGGGTGGGTGCCGCTAGCTGCCCCGGTAAATGGTGGCCCGGCGACTCCTCGGGGAGCGCCTGCAGTGGCCTTGTGAAGGAGAGGCTGGAACCTCAGCCTCGGAGGGGCGAGTCTGGCAAGGGGCTCTTGAGGAAGGCTCTTCTTCGCCAGTCCTTTTTTCTTCCGGGAAGCTGTAGCCTTTCAGCTCCCCCATTTTCCCTATCTGCCGTGCGCACGCCAGCCTTGCTGGGTATTTTTAGCCGGCGCCGCTGATTAGCATTCAGGGGAGCAAGCGAGAGAGAAAAAGCAGTTTTCCAAATCGTTTTCTCTTCCAGCAGCGCAGGTGCACCTGTTGGTGGCAGGAGGGGCGTGTGTGGCGTTTTATCCGGTGTTTAGCTTTCTGCAGAGATGTGACATTGCTCCCTCTGTCTCGTCGGGGTAGGCCCTCTTGGCACCTCCCTGAGGACAGCAGCACCCAGCTGTAATCTCCCTGGGCAGAGGGGCACTGGTCTCCTTTGCAGCGGGTGCTCCTCCCCGAGACAGGTTTCTGGGCCCTGTGTGGGGCAGTGATGCTCCCAGGGACGCTTGGTGGGAGGCTGTCCTGTCTGGCGTCCAGCTCTCTAAAGGTTACAGTATCCAGAAGTATCATTGGCTCAGTATCCAAAAGCTAATATCCAAGAGGGATGCGCCATCCTGCCCCGCAGGACCACGCAGCCAAGGGAATTTTACTCTCTCCCTCCTGTTCACAAAAGGCCCATGGAGCATGGAGTATGTGAGAAAACACAAAAGTCCTGACTGGCCTTCTTGTGTCCCTCGAGAAAGGAATGGCCGGGTATGTGAACCCCAGTCATCCTCAACTCTTCCCAGGTTTTCCCTAACCCTGAGGACTGAGTGTCTTGGCCTGCTCATCTGTGGCCGGGTGAAGATTCTGCTATAGGATCTGTGACTTTGGCTTTGCTATTGGTGAGTGCCTGGACTGCTGCGGATGATCTTCAGGTGTCCGGGAAAGAACTCACCCCATCACTCTTAAAACATGAATGCACAGAGGACACACAGGATTTTATAAATTGCAGTATGCACTGCTTGAGATCTCTACTGAGCATCAAAATATTGCTTCAGAAAGCACATGTAAACTCTCAAACCAGCTGTTAATCCAGAGAACCCTGGTAGACACACTCTGTGTGGAAGATGAGGAGATGTACTTAGTGGGGAGCAAACACTTAATGAACTAATTATATGTAGAATGTGCAAAGTGCCTTACTCCCTGACACACAAGATAAACTTACATGTGGGCAAAATGTGTGATTTGAATAACTTGATTGTCAAGACCTTAAAAAAGTGAAATATTTATTGTGGCAAGTGGTGAGAAGATTAATTTAACACTAAATAAATACAAAACCAAGAAAAGTCTTAAGCCTTTATGCATCATTTTATTAATCAGCATTTACCTTAACAATGGTTAGAATAGAAAAAGCAAAACAAATTTTCCATTGGCGGCAAATTGTTCCCTTTTTGTACAAAGCGTTCATCTTGGTGTTCCTTTCCATCTAGTTTTGGCAACCACCAGAAGTAGTCAGCAAGGCTTATCCAGCATGGTTCTTCAGGTGTTCCTACAGCTGTTTCTCGTGTTCAGTCTTCCTCATCTTTAATGTCATCTTCTAAAGAAAGGACTTTTCCTCCCAGTGTTTGTGATAGGAGACTGATCTTTGATTGCATCCCACAAATCTGTTCATTGTGAGAGGCCAGGCTAACACACAAAGTTAATAATGCAATTAATAATTCTGCTGTACCTTTTTATTTCTCCTGTGGAGCAGCTTGCTACTGTTAACCTTTTCCAGCCTTTACCTGCTTCTCCCCAAAATGCCTCTTTTTCTTCCAAGCACCATGTTCAATATGCAAAGCCAGAAGTTTCACTGCCAACTTGTTTCGCCACACGTTATTTATTCATAAACTTTCTGTGTTTCGCTGCCACCCTGAATTAGCCCAGTTTTTCACCAGGTTATTTACAGCTTTGCACTGTGACACATTTTCAGTAACACACACATACACATTGACATGCACACAGAGTATGGTCATTAGCATATCCTGCACATTGAAGGTCAGTTGCTTTGGATAACAGGTCAAAAAACATTGTAATGATGTTGGTGCATTAATAATAATATACATAAGACTGTAAAACATCCATATACCTATACTGAATGATTTGTTGATGACCAAATTGGCATTACTATAAAAACAAGGGCTGACCTACTGTTGCAAATGAAGGTCACTGAAGAGTTCTCTGGACCCCAAAGGGTAATGCTGGTCACCTCAGTCCTAGCTAGTGGCCCCTTCCAGTACAATTAGGATGCCCTTTTGCATGTTCATAGCTGATCTGTGTGTGTCTAATTCTTCAGCCAGGTTTGCCTTCTGAAAAAAAATAGTATCTGTGAGCAACAAAAGATGGGAGAACTGCAGGCCACTTGGCTTTGACAGACATCAGCTGCTAAATTAGTCATTGCAGGTAGTTTTGAGTCCCTGGCAGCTGTTTTATCACTGAACTTTATTAGTCATGTTTTCCTTTTCCAAAGTTTATGAGTTGTTTTCAAGAGTTATCATGGTGGGCTTTGGAGCAAGTGTATAAGGTTTTGTAGAATAGCACTGGCCTGGAACGTATGTTCCCAACAGTCTCTTCACAATCATGGTCAGGGCTTTCTGGGTGTTGCAGTGGTGGTCATTTATGGCCAGGTCCTGTCTCCAAAGAATGATAGGAAATCTTTGGTTCAAGGTTTTGTTTGGCTCACAGGGGAGCTGAGGGAACTCTGCTTGTTGGGTTGGGCGCCTTGTTGGGGGTAGTCAGTCACTGCAGTGACCAGCTTGGTGGCTTGCTTTGCTTGCTGTGCACAGAAATTAATGTTTTCAGTAATGTGGAGATCAACCTCTTAACTTTTTGTGGTGACTCAGTGGCACAAAGGACAACAGAGATATTAATTATTTGCACTCTAGGCTTGAAGCTAAAATGCGTGCTTGTAAAATAGATGGAGATCTTCAGCTTATGCCACCAAAGTGCGTTGCATTATTTTATTGTCTGCCTCTTCTCCCACACTGTGTTTATGATAAGATATATGTGTTGTTATTTCTGTGCCAGTTTGATAAACAGTTGTCATAGCTTTAACAATTCAGTCATGATGGCTGTGTAACCTACCATAACTTATTCTGTTTCCTACTACTTTTTCCTTTTATTTTTTCCCCTGTTTCCATAGGGGACATTATGGACTGTCAAATCTCCTTGCAAAAATTGCTGTACACACAGTTACTAAGAATACATTAGAAATTAGAAATTAGAAACTCTGAACATGAAACCCATCGCATTTCTTTCTGATTCTTCTTATTTCCCATTTACAGGGTCTACAAGCATATTTCTGTGTGCCAGAGGCCTGCTGTTCTCTAATTTTCACAGTATTTTATGGGAAAGACTCATCTCTGCAGGGAATTTATGGAGAACACATGCTAGAAAAGGACCTACATAAGGCTAAAACTCTGGACCTAACTGGTCGCTGGGCACTGATGAAAAAACATCTGCAAATGCTGTTTCAATGGGTGACATTTCAGAGAGGTTGGGAAGATAATATAAGGATTTAAAATAGAGAAAGCAAAGCCTGTGCTAGAAGCTGAACATGTAAGGCTTTCCTGGCAGCTGTTAGTGCTAGGAGTTTTGGAAAAGGGAAGAAATGTTTGAGAAGTTAGGGTTATAAAACAGCGAGCTGGTTTGCACTCTAAGATCATGGTGTAATTTAGGTTGGAAGGGACCAGTAGAGGTGTCTAATGAGACCTGCTCAAAGCAGGCACATCTTTGGGGTTGGACTGGGTTGCTTGGGGTATTTGATACTATTTGATATATTACTTAAACAATGGACTTCTTTACTTATGTCACAAAATTGTTAAATTATGGCAATTTTTTTGAAAACTAATAGTTTCCTAACTACTGTTCTAATGGTGGGACCCGGATGGTATTTTGTTGTGTGGGTTGCAAGAAGTTGTCAAGCTGATCATAAAAGATTTTTGAACACTTTGCCAGCCAAAGGTGTGTCAAAGTCCTTCACTTTGGGCTCTCAGATTATTTTGAAGTGTGTTTCAGCTTAGTCTTTCAGTTCAGTTCAGTCTACATAATTGATGTATTCTCAAGATACGGATCTTTGGGATCAGGCTTAAGACATATCTCTTAGCTTCTGGTTAGGCCTTCAGCATAAGACCTGAGCAGCAATCATACATCAGCTTTGTCT